TATATATATATTCATTTTCCTTTTGTCTTCAGATTTGCTGAACTGGACAGAGGTTACATTTGATGATGGCACAGATCCTATTCTGTGATTAGGATTTTTTTTGTTCTGCAAATACCTATCAAGATGTATCCATTAATTAAAATTCAGGAAAGGCACTGGCAGGGGTTCTATGGAGCATTCATATATAGCTGCTGCCAGCAAAAATTGTGTTGGACTAGCAGGCTGTGGGACGTATCAGTGCTGGAGACATGTGTGGCCTGGGAGGTGGGCAGATGCACAGCCCAAGTCCTGAGCAGTGATCTGGTCTCCCCAGGGACCTTTTATACCTTCAGGCAGAGCTGAGGTAGTGAAAGTAGAGCAGTGCAGAGATGGTAACAAGCAGCATATCTGTCTGGGGGCGGTGTTGGTTGGAACAGGCAGTATTTTGAGGTGGCCAGATGGATGCTTTTTCTGGGTTCAGTAATTGCATAACTACGGGATGTGTCCTGGGACTGCGCAGGGGAGGTTTTTAATTATTCAGAGCAAGTTTGCCCAGATCCTCTGAAGTAGAGGGTGAAAAAATAGAGGATTCTTGTTGTGATTATTTTTAAATTGCTTTGGAAACACATGGCACAGAAGGCGTGTGCTGTGCTAAAACAGGGGGAAAAACACCCTTACAGCTCAGTCAATACAGGAACCAGGAGCAGGCTAATCAGCGTTAAATGCCTGTACTAAATGTGTGACTTCAGCTGCAGCTGGGGAACAGTTTCACATCCTCAGAAGAACTAATGGCACGACCTTTGTCTTGCAGATCATCAAAAGATGTGCTACTCTGCACTGGTGCTGGCCATGATGTTCTCCATGGGGGAGCCCCTGCCATATCATCACTATGGTAAGAGTGGGTTAGGCTCACAGCTGGGCAGGATGTTTGGGGTGTGCTGGCAGACACAGGGAAGGGACCTTTCCTGGTGGCCAAAGTGAGGACAGCTCAATTGAAGGCCAAGCAAGTGTAGGGTCTGTTCCTTATCAATAGAGCCTGGCAGCTGAAGCACTGAGCTGAGATGCAAGATTTCCAGAGAGCAGCACAAATGTGGGTTAGAGCAACAGAGGACTGAATGCCATGCTGTAGAAGAGGTAGATTTGCCCGTCACTGTGACTAAATGGCATTTTGTTTTACCTCTGGCCTGTGTGAAAGCACACACCTCTTACTTGCTTTGGAGACTGTCTGCTGATGAGGCTGAGATCCCAGATCACTCCATGAACGCCCACTAAGACTGTCAGCTGCATAATGTGGCCTCTTTATGGTTTCTCTTCTAACAGGATAGTGCAGACCTGTGTATTTCAAGCTCTTAGGGAAAGTAGAGATGATTAAGGGTATTGCAGTCAATAATGAAGTGCAAACGTTCTGCCTGGTTTATCCTCTGTCCCTTCATTTCAGCCTTCAGCCAGAAAGCACTGCTTGATTCTTCCCAAGGCTGTTGTGTTCCCTGTATTTGGGAAACTCTGGGCTTAGTTTTCTTAGAAATGCAGTAGAGATTTTTATAAGCATCTCCTCAGCACCTTTACACCTTAACACCCGGTAAACTAATACAAGATGTAAACTGGTGCAGTACAGACTGGAATGAGCCTCCACACCTCCTGTTTTTCTCTCCTCGTGTAACCCTGGCAATTATTTCCTGCAGGTGGACTTATTTGCATGAGCTCCTGAGCTTTCCTAATAGCTGAATTGAAAAATGGGTTATTACTAATGATCTAGATTATTAGGGATTTTCTTAAATAGATTAATTAAACCTATGGTCAAGAATACAAATCTTTTCCTACCTTGAAGCTGTCACTGATGGCAGCTTCAATGGTGCTGCAACAGCTAGAGGATTTGGTGTTTTATTTACTTGGAAAAATTGCCAGTGTGGGACCAAATTTCAGCATTCCCCTGCACTGTGGGTAGGTCTCTGAGCCACTTGTCTCTCACACAAAGACTCTTCAGTGGTCTGTCTAGTCCACTTGCAGGGCTCTTCATTCCCTGGAGGCTGATGCTAGCACTCCACTAATGGTTTTTGAGCATAAAAGCACAGAGAAGTGGCTTGCATGGTCCCTTGTTGCTGGGTTTATTTTCACTGTGCTGTAAATGCCCCTTTCTCCTTGCACAGAACACCTCAACTCTCAGTTTGTGCAGTTCCTGCTGGATGTGATTGAGGATGGGCTACCCTCGGACACCACCGACCAGCTGCCTGACTTATTTATCAACGTCCTTCTGGCCTTCAATCTCCACATTCCAGGTTGAATTGATGCTGCCCTGCCTTGGCAGGATTTCAGTGGTCTGGAGTGAGGATGTGAAGAATGGGGAGGGACAATCTCACTGGGTCTTGATGATGCTATGACCACCACTTCAGTTCCCCTAGTCCCTGGCACTACATTGTGTTTAAATATGATGCAAAACCCTAGAGATAAAAATGGTCTGGGAGCCTCTGTCCACCAAAGTGACCCTCTGGGGCCCAGCAGCTCTGTGGATTTCTCACTGTAGTCCACACTGCCTGATGAAAGCAGTCGCTGGGCTGCACTTGCAGAACATGACTGGGGTTAACTTACAGGCACAGGCAATTTAGGAGGGAAGATGCTTCAGTGAGCATTTCTCAGTGCGAGTCCAGAAGAAAGTCTTCTGCCTTTGTAGGTCTCGGCAAAGCTTCTGCTTACCTGTCTGCACCGCTTGAAACTCATTCGGTGCCAGTGTGTTGGGGCCAGGCCCTTCAGTGTTGGCCTGAGCTGTGCTCTGTCCTGATTGCCCTCATTGTCTGCCCTCCCTGCCCTGTTGAGCTGCATGAGAACAGACAGCACATCAGGTCCCTAGAGAAAGGCATTTGTCCTCTCACTGCCCGTGTGTTTTGAAGCCTGTTGTTGCAAGATTGGAGAGTAGTTTCAGGTCACTCCTTAACCCAGAGTCTCCTGTTGCTCCACTTGTCTTTAGTTAATTACTTCCTCTTGTTCTGATTCATGGCTTTATCCTTGACTTCCTGGAGAGTGGGAAGGATAAAGCAGCAACAATGTGTCCAGTAATCTACCTGTTATTTTGAGTTGTGCTTCATTAAAATTTATGTGAAAGTTTCTAATTTCATGTGGAAGTTGATTGCACAGAGACTGATTAAGTATATCTCTTCTGCTTTCATTCATTACCCCTTCCCACACTTACCCATATCCTTGCTGGCTGCAGTAATTAGGCAGTAATGCATGACAGGCAGTGTGTTTCTGGGGATTATTGCCCACCTGGGGCATAGCCAAGAGCAGTGACTTGTTCTCTGATGCTAAGAACATGTTAAATGATGTTCAGCTTGCTTATTAGTGGATTGAATATTTTATTCCTCTGTCTGCAAGATTCATCTGTCAGGCAGTTCAGTGGTGCAGCATTAGTTCAAAAACTCCCCATAAAAGCATATTGTATTGATGCCCTTCAGTGTTAAGGATCCTGAAGCACTTTGCAACCTGTGAAATATTGCAGGGTTGCCAACCCTGTGCCACAGGAATAGCCACACTGTGCTGTTTGGCTGAATCTGTGCATACCCACACACATATGCCTACGGTCTGCTAGGGTAAATGTGTTTTAGTTACAACAAATCACCCCCAAAGCAGGCTAGAGGCCTGTTTTTAAAAGTCTTCAGCCCGTGCCTTGCACAGCTCAGTTCTGAGTGCTGGAAGAACTTTTCCCTTCTGGGATGCTCCTGGGACCCTTCTTAAGAGAACTTGTGAGACTACAAGTTCCAGCAGGGCCCTGCTGATATGAAGTAAGAAGATACCATGGAGTGGAGCCCTTGGCTGCAGAGGAGTGTGAGCAGAGGTGATGTTTGACAACATAAAGCCTCTGCAAGGTATTTCCCAGTGTTTGGCTGTCAGGACTGGAGCCCATGTGTGAATCAGGTGTACAGAGAAAGCACCAAATCCCAAGCGTTTCATGCACTGCTTCCAGATTTATTTCCCCTTCCCTTTCCCTGCCCACCCACTCTGTGGGGCTGAACCTTTCTGTAGCCCTGATAGACTGTGGTTCCCCAAAGGTCCCCAGAGCACCAATGTGAAATAGGAGCCCTCCATTATGTGGTTTTATTACCTTGATCTTCAGGAAACAAAGGGATGTGCTGAACAGGTTTCTTCCTTAGTTCCAGAACACAGTGTGATCATGACTACAATAAGCAAGCACTCGAATGTCAAGACTTTCACAGAGAAGCTGCTGCTGCTGCTGAACAGAGGAGGTGAGTGTGTGTGGCATTGTTATGTGCCTGGCAGGGGGTGCAGCTAATGGTGGCTTGGGGAGACAAGCCCAATGCTTGTTATGGGGTGGATGTCAGGGATGCAAGTAGCTGAGGAGCTGTCAGCTCAGGCAGGATGTGCTGCTTCCTGGTGAAGTGGTGAGGGTGACAGTCTGCAGGATGGAGCTGCACAAGGAATAAGGTGATGCTGATGGCATCTAAGATGAGAGGAGAGGCCTCTAGGCTGCTGTTTCCATATATTTCTGAGTCTGATCAGCCCCATCTTGCAGCATAGCCAGCTGCCATATGGGCAAGCTCTTTTCTGGGAGGAAAGCTTGTCCTGGGCCACTTCTGTCCTTGGACAAGCAGGACTCAGTGAGTGCTGGCACACCAACTTCAGCCTGTGCTGGAAATCGTCTGTTCTGGGGGACAGATCCAGAGGGAGCTGTTGCCTTCCAAGATGCTGCTTAGAGTGGAACTTCCCATTCCCGAATGGCCAGCAGAGGGTTAGCATTGTGTCCGCTCCTGGCATGGAGTGAAATCCACTGTATGTGTAGAGCTGTTGCAGAGCAGATTGCTGGAAAGCTGGAGATCTCCACAGGAAGAGTGGTGCCAGGTCTTTCAGCCTGTGCTGCATACTGCTATTGTGCTTTTTAATACCTTCTGGAGCACAGGGGCTTTGCTGCATGAGATTCATTTTGTTGATTTGCTAGAAATAACTCATCCTGTGATACTTGCTGCTCATCTTACTCTGGCTTTAGTTCTCTTTGGTGTTGCAAATCACTGTCTCCACACTATATCAGCTTGAGGGCAGCCAGCACCTCAGTGCTCTTCTGTCTGGCCTCCTTCCAAAACCTTTGTTTAGCCCTTTCCCTGCCACATTCCCTGCAGGGATCACCTTACAGTGAGGAGAAAGAGAGGGGCCACAACCTAATGAAGATGCTTCTCTTTTGCCCACCTTCCTGACAACTGCTAGGGGGTTTGCAGTGGCCCAAAGCCCCTCTCAGGGTCTGCAGGGATTGTGTTTTGGAAGAGAACAGGATGTGCTGGCTCATTTAAACTTGGAAGTGTTTCTTTTCTTGCTTCTGGGACAGTATTAGCCTGGTCTCTGGTGAAGGCTTGTTTCTGGTACAGGCTCTGATGGGCTTTTCAGAGGGGTCATTGGACCAGACTTAATAAACCAGGGAGAAAGTGAGTGGTGGTTGTTGAGTAAAAAGAGGAGGCACTGAAAGGCAATGTGCTAATGAGCCCTCACCTGGGATGGTAGGTGAAACATAAACAGTGATTAATGCTAATCATAATGAGTTTGGTCTCATCTTGGTGCCCTGCAGAGCTGCCATCCTGATTACACACCTTTGTGCAAGGCACTAAGGTCTGTGGGCACAAAAGCTATCCATGGGCAGGGAGTGGCTGACTGAGGGCAGGGCAACCTCCTCTCCAGAGCCAAAGGGTCTAACGAAGGGATGTGCTGAAGATGGAGGAGGGGAGCAGTGAGGAGCACGTGGCTTAGCACAGTCTCTCTGCCTTCCCCAGATGATCCAGTTTGCATCTTCAAGCATCAGCCTCAGCCACCGCACTCGGTGCTGAAGTTTCTGCAGGACATCTTTGCCAGCAAGGACACAGCCAGCATCTTCTATCACACAGACATGATGGTCCTGATAGACATCCTGGTGCGGCAGATTGCAGATCTCTCCCCAGGAGACAAGGTACTCACAGTAACCCGTGGGAACTGGGGAAGGGAGCACAGTCCCAAAGCAATGGTGTTTCTCCCAGCTCCCTCTGGGGCCTGCTCGTGCAGGCAAGAGTGGAGTCTTGGGGTGGACCCAACATTTCTGGGTGCTCAATCAACCCGGGGGGCTGAGGAGGAAGATGGGATATATCCTGACTGGCACACAGGTATATTTGAAGAAAGATCTGCCAGGCTTCTGGTGGTCTGCACCCTTCTGAGCAGGGACCTCTGGGAAGCGAGACCCACTGTGTGTAGTAGAAGTAGGAGAGATCTCTCTGGTTTGGTATTGTAAGAAGCAAGGGATGTGCACAGTTGAGGGCAGGTGAGGGGCACTGGGTTGCTGTGGGAAAAGCAGAGTTTTCCATAGTTATTATGAGCCTTAAGAAAAAGCAGGTGCCTCTGGAGTTGTGCTCTGGCTGGTGGTGCAGCAGCAGCTGTTTCTGTGCTCATACTGTAATGGAGGTTGGCATGCTTGTTTATCTCACTCTAAATCTTTCATTGTGCTCTGTGGTTTGTCTCCCCTCCCACTTGGCAGCTGAGGATGGAGTATCTGTCTCTGATGCACGCCATCATCCGCTCCACACCCTATCTGCAGCACCAGCACCGCCTCACCGACCTGCAGGGCATCCTGCAGCGCATCCTGGGCGAGGAGGAGGAGGACCAGCAGTGCCAGATGGACAAACTGATCATCTTGGAGATTTATAAGGAGTTCCCAGAAATCTCTCCCGGTACTAGCTAATGCCCCTCAGCTTGGACTGGAGTTTGAACCACTTGGATCGGCGACGTCTCTTGTTGACACTTTCTCCCCATTCCCTCCCAGTACAGCTCATACCTTATATTCCTCTGTGCGAGGCCTAAGGTTGGGACAGTGTTCACCAGCCCTTTAGAAACGCCAGCAGCAGGAAGGGCATGGGGTGCCCCGGGGCCTGGTGCCCGGGACGGGCAGAGCAGGGTGGGCGCTGGCGCGTTGTTTGTCTGCAAGACTCAGGCAGGAGCTATTTAGGCACCTGGTGTTAGTGGGAAGGGCGGAGAGCTTGCAGGGGACTTAGCAGCCAGTGTGGGGGAATGTTCAGCTGCACTGGCATCCCAAGGTCCTGAAGAGAAAGGCCTTTGCCTTAGAGTATCACTTCTTTTCCATGTGCGTCTCTCTCCCTGCAGTGACCAAGTGGAGTCTGCTGGTGCTTGGAAGAAGCTTCTGTAACATCTGTTTTGTTTGCTGCTGCTAGTGCCAATGTGCTGCAGCCCTGCCAAGGGAAGGTAGCTGCTCGCTGTCTAACGCCTCGTCTAGTGAGCCTTTCACTCCCTCCTAGCCCTCAGCTTTGCCACTGGGCAGCAGCCCACCTTGGGTCATGGAGGTCTTACCCCAGCAGCTGCTTTTTTCAATCTGCTTTCTATAGTGATGTTTAAATCTGAATTTCTTGCACACTGTGGCAGCCTAGAAGTAACAGCCACACGGGTGACGCTGCCCTTAGGAAGCCCTTGGCCCAGACACAGCGCAAAGATGTGTCCTGCCAAGTGAAAGCTGCCGCTTGCCACCTCTGTCGCAGCGCTGCCCTGAGCAGAGGGGCTGCCCGCGGGCAGGCGTGTTCTGTTCGTGAAGTGTGTGGATTTCTTGCCTTGAGCTTCATAGTAGCTCTGCCTCGCTGCCCTCCCTCTCCCCGTGGCAGCGCTCGGAGGCAGTGTGAGCCTGGTGTCCAGTAGCTGTTTGTGACTAAGCTAAGTGTGGGGAACCCTTATTTATATTTCCTCTAGGTTTCTAGCGAATGGGATTAACCTGTTTCCCTGTTACAGATAGTCACACACACTAACATGGTTCTCTTAGATATTTGTGTGCGCAGTCTGGTCACTCCCTGTCCCCAGGTCTTCCTTTGCAGTATCCAGTGTAGAAGCTATTGGAAAGTGGAACTGGAAATACTGGGCACTGTATTTGCTTTTATTTTTTATGTTAGCTTGAGGCAATGACACGAGCTCTGCTCTGCAGGCCTGGACTCTGGCCACTGGGGCAATGATGCTTGGGAACAGAGGGCCTGGCAGCCAAGGGGGGCAAGGAGCTCCTAAAGTCAGCCTGGGAATGCCCAAGCTTAATAACTACCCTAGTAAAGAAACCTATTTTTTCCCTGTAAAAATGTATGAATGTCAAAAGGGATCCTGTATTTTCTTAAACACTAAGTGTAACCTGCAGAGGAATAAAAATGTCTTAAACTGGACTTCTGTGAGCATAGCCCTGCCTGCCCCGTCCTATTGTGGGGGGACCAGAGCTCGGGTGCCTGCTGCCCACTGAGGCAAAGCAGTGGGTGCTGATGTCCAAGTGGGGGTGACAGTAGTTTTCCCACACTCAGCTTCTTGTGTTGTGTTTTCCTACCATGTTGCTGGCAGACATGGAGTGGTGGAGGGCAGCAGCCCTTGCTAGGGGCACAGCCATCATTCCTGAGGGCCTGCCCAGCATTGCTGCTCCAGATTAAGGGTTTGGCAGAGCTGGATTCAGCAGTTTGCTCCTTGCAAGGCACGTGCAGCCTCAGCTGGCTCCCAGCAGAGCTGCCGAGGCAGCAAGCCTGGGCAGGAAGGGTTTAATGGTCTGTATCGAGCGCTAATGAACGGTGCTTTGCCTGTGGATGTTTGCTCCCACACCTCAACCCTACATGTGTAGCTTTGGGGGTGCCTGGGATGGCAGGGAGTGCCTGTGGTGGGAGGGGAGTGGGCCCTGGGCAAAGCACTGTGTTGGTAGCAGGGAAGTTAGTCTCTGCTCCTGGCTGCATGCCAACAGAGCCAGTCGGGCAGTGGGCTCAGCCCTGGCCCAAGGGTAAGGGTGTAAATGCCAGATGTGAGCGGTGCCCCTCCAAACACGAGGATGGCATCAAGCACAGCTGCCTGCAGAAGCAGGGCCAGGGCTGTGTCCCAGCTCCTGCCTCTTTGGCTCGTATCTCTAAAGTGCCCAGGAATGTGGCCTTGAAGAGTGTGAAGTTGCACACCCGGGGGGAATCACAGCATGAAGGCTGCCAGCACTCACCAGTGTGCCCTCCATGGCAGCTCTCCTGTGCCCCACTGCTCTGTGCAGTGTGTGGTTGCGTGTCCACCAGAGCCAACCTCAGTTTGCTTCTGAGTGCCGTTGGGCTTGTTGGCCCCTGCCGTGGTGAGGTGTTCCTCTGGCACTTGCCCTCAGGGATGCAGCCCAGGCTTTGCTGTGCCAGGCAAGCCCAGCAGCGGCTTGCAAGGAGCACAGCCTGGTGACAGAGTATTTGGTGACAGTGCCCTGCCTGCCGTGTGGGGCTGGCAGAGCCCCAGCCAGGCTGAGCCTGGACTGACAGAGCTGGTGGCTCCCACTGGCCTCCCTGAGCCATTACTGTCCCTGGGATCATTTCCCCTGTGTTCCAGCTGCACAGTAGCATGACACCTTCACCACCACCTTGCTGCCACCACAGCCGGGGCTGGACCAGCTGGGGGCAGCTGACTGGGGGTCCCAGGGGAGAGCTACACCTGCTCCCCTGGAAAGGCCTTCACACATCACAGGGAATCAAACCACAGTGTCTCAACTCATTATCCCCAGCCTGCTCAGCGGTTCCTGCTCCGTGTGTAGGTGACATGCTTGAGATTGTTAGCTCTAATAGGCCACTGTTAGAGGAGTGTCTCCTCATATTGGTGTGTTTTTATTGTGGTGCAACAGTGAGGGGTGTTGGGGGGCTGGCACGGGGGGAGCGATGCATTGCCTTGCGCTTCTGCTGTATTGTCTGGAATGATTCAATTACAATTATTTTGTGGCAGTAATACCCCAATGATTTTCTCCTCCTCCCCTGAGCTGTCAGCTGGGTAATTAGAACAAATAAACTTGAAAGCCTTCATTACTTTTGAAAAGTGTTGCTTCTCTCCTGATTCAGTTTCTTGACGGCACATCCCCAGTCTGAGGAGGTGTGATGTATGATCCAGCCAGCACATTCCTGTTGCACGTGGGTGATGCACTGGCCTCTGTTTAGATGAGGTTTCTTGGGTGAGCTGCATGTGGGGCTGGCACTGCTCTGGCATTCGCCTAACAGCACTAGGAAGTCTAAGGTGAGTGCCTGGGGGTCTGGAGGGGGAGAACCTAAGTCCCTCTGGAGCACAGCAAGCCCATGGCTGGCATGGCCACAGCACCATCAGCACTGGTACTGGACCAGCCAAACCAGAGGTGTTTTGTGGTGGCCAAGGAGTTAATCACAGTGGATTACCAATCCTTTGGAGTTTATAAATTAATGTGCCAGCTTCTCTGGACGTTTAGAAATCCACACCTATTAGCCCTCAGCGTTGTGTCAGCACCAGGGGAACCTCTCTCCTGCACATGCTGAGCTGTGCTGGCCACCACTTTAAGGCCTGCATGGTGTTTCCCAGGGTGGTCCTGAAACACGTGCTCAGCACAGGCACTAAGGTAAGGACAAGCCCTGCCAGCTCTGCCCACCCTGTGGCTGCCTGGGTGTTTGCAAGGCCTTGGCTTCTGCGTGGGTGATAGTGGTGGGAGACACAGAAAGCCACCAACTGTCAGGATGGTGCAGGGTGGTTTGGGGACACGCTGGGTGTGCTGCAGATCCCACACTGTGTTTGCTCAGTTTCTGCCCTGGGAGTGGGAGCCTGCTTGCTGTCAAACCCCCAATCAGTGGGCAATGTGCACTCTTCTCACCCCCTCATTTACACTGACAATAATTGCTAGGAGGCCATCTGTCGTCATTGGTGGAAGTGAAGCCAGGTGATAGCTGGTGGTGATCAGTCAGTTATTAGGGGAGCACAGGAACATGGGCTATCTGCAGAGGCAAAGCACTGGTGATGTCAGGATTCAGTGCATGTGGAATGCCACAGTCCTGTCCACAGCTGCAGCAGTGGGCACCACCACAGCAGTGGCAGCTGGACCCCCTTGAGGACCCCAGGCCTGTTGTGTCCTGGGGCCTCTGTGTCTTCTCTGATGCCTCCTCACTGTGTAGCTGTCCCGTGCTGTCCAGAGCTACATGTAGCTCCCAAGCAGCCTCATAGATTTCTGCCAAGAGACTGTGGGACCTCACACAGCCTTGTGAGGTTTCCTGCAGGGTGGGAGTGTGTTGGAGAGTGCACATGGCCTCTGCAGTGCTGGGAATGACGGCTCAGTGAACAGAGAAGCCCCATCTCTGTTACGAATCCATCCCACTCTTAATTTGTGAGGCTTTTTGGGAGCTACAAGGGCTGCTTAGCCTGGCTGCGGTGTGGCCACGGGGGTGCCAATGCTCCACTGTGAGCCACAGCTCACCCAGCACAGTGGCACAAAGGGCTTTTGCAGCCCCCTGGGTGCTGGAATGTGCGTGGAGGCACTGTGTCCCATGTACTCCCTGCCCTTCTGTACTCCATGCTAAACTCCCCCCATTTCTCAGATTTGCTCTATTTTTCTCTCTTTCCTTTCTTCCTTAGCATATGTCCCAGTGTGCACTCTTGTTCAAGAGGACATAGCTGACAATGTCCCCTCTCTGTGGCACAAGGAACACTAATAAGAACCTAAACCTCTGTTATTCCTAAACCTAGTACAAGCTCCTGTGGATTAGAGTGTGATATTAGTTGATTGAGATCAAACCAACTAAATTCCAACACTGATGCACTAATGAACCACCCTGTAGCAAGGGCCCCAAACTGAATTTTCCTTAGAAAAATGTTGGGTTTTTTTAAAATCTTGGATGCTGGAAGAAAATCCTGGACTTTCTCCCTGGTGCTGATGCCTTACCCGGTGGGTGG